ATACACTATCAAAGTATCAAGATATGGTATAATCATTTTTAGCACTTCGACTCACTACACTCTAGGCATTTTGATTAATAGGCAGTGATTTTCTATGTTTTGTTAGGATCCCTAAGCAAATTGGATTATATATATATGTGGAAATGGTTTACTCACTATATATTTACTTCATATGATTTCATCTTTTTAAAATAAATGTGCTTGCATATTACATTATAACATGTACAATATTTGTTTAAAACTTTACAGGGTATGGTGTATATATTGTGCTAGACAAAGAGAATATGCTCTCAAATGGACTAGGTATATCTTTCTTAAGTTTTTTTATGGATAATTAAGGTTTTTTTTCAAAATTGGAATAAAGCTTCTTTGAGTAGTCACATTATCTTTGTTTTTGTAGTTTTGTCTTGCATCACGGGGAGCTAGATCAAACATTACCTAGTGATCAATTTTGGTTGCTAAAAAACTACTTTACTTCATTTCGAGGTTGCTGCCTAAATCTTGATACAGTACCCTATACTACTTATGTTTTTCCTCACCCTTTTTTCCTTTCCAATATTTAAATACTGTATTAGTTGTACCTAGATTGTACCTTTATTTTCATTATTTTATTTATTTACTTTTGCATCTGCAATGGTCAGTTTACTACGTATCTGATTGGGTTAAAAAATCGAACTCGCAACTAAATTGCTAGATTAATTAGAAGATAAGCTCAGAAATGGGAAGAATGATAGACTGGTATTCTGAGGATGCCAACTGTGATAGTTGCATGTTGCTATAATATATGGAGGACAAAGAGTCTAAAGATTCATGACACAAGGGAGATTGTTGCAGGTATCCAATATGATCATACTTCAGACAAGAGTCTTTATTTAATCTAAACATAGAGTTAGCCTTTTCTGATGTAGTTTGTTTGACATTTAGATTTGATGGTTGTAGTCTATTTTTGCAAGTTTTATTTTGTATACTGATGAATTGGCTTACTTATTGGCAGTTTTATTTTAATAAAATGCTCGTGTTCTTTTTAAAAAAAATAGTTGGAATTGTAATTAGTACTTTATTAAAATTCTTTAATTTAAAGATCTATAATTAAAATATAATTGTTATCTTGTTATAAATAATGAATTTTATATTAATATTATAAAAAAATTAGTACAACATTTGCAACACTAACAAGTGTTGGTTACATAAGAACACATGCTAAGTGTCATAAATATATTTATTAGCTGCACTTATTTAAAATTGCGGCAAAATATTCCCCACATTTACGTAGCCGCACTTAGGTCATGTGTGGCAAGTCAACTTTTCCACATTTATAAGTGTGGCAAACAACATTTTTTAGTGCGCCGAAAAGCCATCTTTCTTGTAGTGAAGGTACCCCCTACTGTTAGGTCGGGACCCCCCTACCGTAAAGTGTACCGTGAGTCAATATGAGAAGGTACCTCCTACCGCAACCCATGTTGAACAACTTACGCACATCTAGAGGGGGGGGGGGGCTGAATAGAGGTGTTCTTCAAAATTCAAAACTTTTGGAAGAATAAACAAAAATTCGCAGGAGTATATCAACCACAAGAAGACAAAGATGAAGAGAAGGAGCAACACACGATGTATCCTGGTTCGGCCTAATGCCTGCATCCAGTCCTCGAAGCAAACGTGCCCGAGATTCCACTAACTTCGTCAAACTTAACGGAGTTTGACAATCCGATTACAACTCGAGAACTTGAATTCGCAAGCCTCTAACCTTTCCACCGAAGTTTTGATTTCACAAGACTCAGGATTTCTCTCCAAAACTTGAATTATATCAACTTCAAGTTTTTACAATTCACAAAACGTTCAAAACAAAGTGCACAGCGGAAATACTCTTCAAATTAAGAGTGGATTGCTGTAGAATACAAGAACTTATAGAGTATGGCACACTAGTACTCTCCAGAATTCAAGAAAATATCGATTTCTTGAAGAATTGCTTGGAAGTATTGTTGAAGGATCAAAAGTATGTGAGCTATGGAAGATAGGGATGAATAACTTCCTTAAAAATTTACAAATCTGCAGTTCAAACTGACGACTTATTCGAATAAAATCAAATTTATCCGAATAGTTCAGAGCGAAAAATGCAGACTTATTCGACTAAGTGAAGATTTATTCGAATAAGCCACTGTAGGATTGAAGAAGCGAGCTTCAGGACTTATTCGAATAATTTGCTAACTATTCTGTAACGCCCTACAAACCGGCCTAGTTTTAAATAAATAAATATTATTTATTTATTGAGACTCATTATTTTTAGTAATCAATATTAAGATTTCCGATCTCTTTAAATGGCTTTTCAAAGCTAATGTATTTTAATATAAAAAGATGTTTTAATAACGGACCTCTCAGCATTAATTAAATGAATTAATTAATGATTGGGTTGGACCCAAAAGTTTGAAAATAAAGTTCTTAGAAAAATTATTTGAACATATCATTAAATTTGTTTTAACTGTCTGATTCCAAGAACACAAACGGATCTCAATTCGGACCCGTTCGGGGGGAAAAAGCGTGTACCGTTCAGGTCAGATTTTTCCACAACGGAGTAAATAAATATTTGTAACTCCCCCAACTTGAAAACCACACGCCACACCACATTACTCCTCCATAATTCCTCATTCATTTCCCCTTTAATTATTCATTCATTTTCCTTCAATTTAAACCTCCTCTCTCCCTCTTCATTTTCCTCCACCACACCTTGTAACTCCCACCATCCATAACACCCATCTCTCCCTCTCCCCTCTCATGTTCGTCCAACCAAGACAGCCAGGCGAGGAGGTTCCAGCGGGAAGACGAGGAGGAGGAAGAGGAGGAGGTGTCCACGAGAAACCATTCATCATTCGTCGTTCGTCGTTGTCAACCGTTCGTTTATCTCGTTTCATCATTTCCGTCAATCCCTTCATCTAGAGGTGAGTAGTTGTCCCTCTAATTCTAGAACATTTAGTTATAATCTATGTTGTTATATTCATAGGAATATCATACGCAACCTACGTAGAATCTATGCATGTTCGTAGGTTAGCCATCAAACATATGTGTGTCCATGTTATCAAGTTATGTACTCGTTAATATAAATGTTTTGACACCTTCTAAGTTCATCGGCTATTTAGAATGGAAATGTAAACATTCGTTCCTAAACTTCCAACGTCTTGATAACAAATAAACAGGTAAAATGAAAGTCAGCGTGCCTTGATAATCGAGTCACAAGATAGTACAATCGACTATCAGGCCACGCTGGACTCCTCAGTTGATTCAGCATAGCGTGATAATCGATTATCACACATATGATAATCGACTATCAGGCCCTGCGGATTCTTGGGTCTGAGTTAGCTTCACCGATAATCGATTATCACATAGGCAATAATCGATTATCAGGGCTCTCTGAACTTAGGACTTTCTGAACAAACCAACTTGACAATCGATTGTCATAGGGTGACAATCGACTATCACAGTCTGCGGGACTTTGGGGACAGAAGCTGCACAACATGATAATCGATTATCAACAGTAGACAATCGATTATCAGCCAGTTTTGAACCTAAGGCCATCATGTTGAACAAATTGTAATCAAACCCATATGTATGCGTTAAATTTAACTTCTTTCTTCAATCAATGCATTCAATTCATCATGTTCATCCTAGACGCATGTCCTAGGGCCATCATCATGTGCATACCGCTGTAGGGAGGTCAGGCTTTCGTGCGCCTACTACAGTGGGCCCGTCCAGGAACCTTTGGGATCCAACGGGTTTTCATCAGGTGGGCTTTGTGTACGTACATGGTAGTCAGGCTACGGCTACCACCCAGTTTTGCTAGTTCACTTGCGACGTTTTGTCGAGCCAGGGTCATCACCAGAGTGAAGGGGTGATCCTGTCAAGTGAGACTAAGTCAGGGGTGTCCATAATAGCTCAAGTCATGCATCAAGTCATATTGTCATCATGTATGTTTCATGTCACGTCAACATTCAATGTGGTTGTCATCATCATGTATGATTCCCATCATGTCCATATTCAATGTGGTTGTTATTCATTTTGTTATGTGTAATAATATCCCATCAAGTGCAAATTAATCAGTTAGCAAACATGTGGTTTTCCGTACGTTAAGTACAGGTATTTATATGTGTATAACCATATGGGTTATCACTTTATGTTCTTTTGTTAGATTCACTCCTCAGCTTTTGCTGAGCGTGTAGTTGTTTTTGCTACACGCAGGTAGACATGACGGTGCAGGTGCTAACCCTGGAGGACAGTGATGGTGGGAAGATGGGCGGCGCATGGAGAGGTTCAATAATTAAATACGTTTAATTAATTAATCAATTGGGCATGAACCCACCATTTATCGTTTTACTCATTTATTTACTTCCGCTTTTACTCTGCATTTATATCACACACGTTATGGGGTTAACGCCCTAGCATTTATTTCATTAATTAAAACACAAACATTTTCATAATAAATAGTCATTAATGCGTTTTTCTCTACGGACGGTTCTCGGACCGCCCATGTAACCCCACCGGTCCGTTGGGTCGCGAGTGAACCGGGTCCGCGGAAGGCGGGTGTTACATATTCGAATAAGACAGAACTGAGAACTGTTAACTTATTCAATTAAAACAAGAGTTATTCGAATAGTTTTCACAGTTTTGAAAATGTGATTTTGCAACTGACTCAAAAACAATTTGAAGAGTTTTTTTGGAAAACATTTTCAAAGAGGAAAAACAACTAACGTGCCATACACTTTAACCAAAAGTGCTAAGACCAAAACATAAACCAAAAACACTATATCTTCACACTTGTCTTGAGATCCAACGCATGATTGTGAAGATCAACATCCAAAGTGCCAAGCCCATGAGATAGTTGTCATTATCAAAACACAAGGGTCAACAATTTCCCCCTTTTTGATAATGACAAACCCAACTTATCAAATGCTTGGGCTTGATTCCAACTAATATCCTGTTTTCAACAAATATAACAAGATAACAAGAGCACACAAGACAATACAAGTAAAGAGTTTAGAGTACTTCTCTTACTTCCCCCTTAATGATCGCACTGCATTAACCACAAGCACATACTCTTCCCCCTTTTGTCATAAGCAAAAAGGGTGAAGGACAAAAGAAACACTGGGTTTATCAAAACACAAGTAGTAATGGGAGATAGCAAAGTCAAATTAAACAAAGACATAAGAGAAAAGTGTTAGATAAATAGCTTAGAACATAATATGAGTGCCCTATCCACTCATTCCGCATCCATGGCAGCATCAACAAGAGTAGTCTCATCACCAGCATCATCATCACCATCGTCATCGGCATCATCATCGTCGTCGTCATCATCATCATCATCATTTCCAGCTGCATGCAAAGTAGAGGAAGAAGAACCAAGACCCATATATGGTTGAAGCATATCCATAGATGGAGACTCCCAATGCTCACCATGTTTTACCAACAACTTGTTTAAATTATACCCATGAATTGCTTGTTGACGGTGAATATCTTGCAACAACTCAAAGAGCATGGGCAGGGTCACCTTTCCACTAGACGAGGCATACCGGCGTTCGGTGTCTCAGGTATCATATCCTCATTGGTAAAAACAAATCCCTTTTTCTTCAACAAGAATGTAAGAAGAATGGGATAGGGTAGAGCTCTCGCTCTAGCATGACAATGATGCATATAACTCATAATGTACTTACCCCAATTGACTTTGACGGGTTTAAGAATTGCATAAATGAGCATAGAATCGTCTTTGCTCATTTGGGGATGATTTCCAGCTCGACCCCGCATGATGTAAGAAAAGATGTACTGAAGCAAGCGTTGAGGGGGCTGCATCCCGCTAACCATTGGCCTGCCTGAATCATTGAGCTGAGGATGAAAACCAATTTCTTCCCAACACAGCCTTTCATCAAAAGTGTACCAAAAATTCATAGAAACCTTCGCAGTAGAGAGTTCAGCCTTACAATTGTCCAAGTCCAAACAAAGTATTTAATCCGAACTAGTAATAACAACAGTTTTGCCACAAAAAGTTGAAGTTATCACATAATTGGTGTTTTGACGTTTGAAGGACATAGCGGCATAGAAGGCTTTGATATGGTCAATCGGAACGTGACCCTCACGAAAAGATATAACATTCAATAAGCCCGAAGTACGAAGTTTAGTAAGAACTGAAGCAAAGGATTGGTCATCTTCAAATACACGAGCATCAACATATCTCAGAGCAACGATTTTTCGAGGAAGAAGACGAGTTGTAAAAAAGTTCAAAGAGTCTTCATTATCAAAGAAAATTGTAGGCTTCATAGAGTAAACAAATTCAGATTCACCTGAGGAATTGCCCGGATTTGAAGTTTCTGCACGAGAAGAAGCGTGACGAGAGCAAATTCTTCTCTTCTTTGAAGTGTACATGACGAAACTGAGAGAAGAAGATTAGGAGCCTGCGTCCCGGAGGAAGTGGTGAGGAACAGCGACGAGGAAGCCTAGGGTTGCGCACGGCGAAGAACAGCGACGAATCTCCTTCGCCAAGGGTTTTTACATGGCAGCGATGTGCGCCCTGGGGTGATGTATTGGAGGCGGCGGCTGCGTGACAATGGCGAGAGAAGAGCACAACGGTGAGGTCGGCGAGGAAGAAGAAGTTTCTCGCTGTGCGTGAGTCGCTGTGCGGCGAGGAAGAGGAAAAAAAAATTTCAGATAAGGTTGGGAAAATAAGTGGACTTGAATTTGAATAGATTGGGTGAACAAAATTTAATCTCATTTATTCGAATAGGAGGCAATTTATTCAAATAAACCAGAGCAAAGCAAAACTGAAGAGCCCAGAACTAGTCGACTAGTTTCACTTTTAGCCGACTAAACAATTGAAGCCGTAGAAAGAATAATATCGTCAGGGTTTTATCCGAATAAATATGTAATTATTCGAATAAATCAGCAGAAACCTTAGAATCAATGAGAAAATCTTGAACCAATAAATCACTATATCCAAACCAAAATTCCCCCTTAATAAATGCTTTCTATGGAGTGCAGAAGAGGAATGGATGGACAGAAACCTGCAAAAAAGACTTAAAAACCACTCCGATGCCTAAATTAGTACAAAATTCAATCAACTAACATGAAAATAATTAAAAGAACTTAGTTAATAGAAATAATTCCTAAGACATTTCTAATACAACTAAAATTCTCACGGTCCAAGGGTTTAGTAAATATGTCAGCCAACTGATTAGTTGTATCGACAAACTCAATGTCAACATCACCCTTTTGGATCTGGTCTCTAATAAAGTGACGTCGAATATCTATATGCTTAGTACGAGAATGGTGAACAGGGTTCTTCGTAATATTTATGGCGCTCATATTATCACAACGCAAAGGAATGTGATCAAGTACAAGGCCATAGTCCAAAAGTTGTTGTTTCATCCAAAGGATTTGTGCACAACAACACCCCGCAGCGACATACTCAGCCTCGGCAGTGGACAAAGCAACACTTACTTGCTTTTTGCTAAACCAAGAAACAAGAGAACAACCAAAAAGGTGACAGGTTCCATTCGTACTCTTTCTATCCATTTTGCATCCGGCAAAATCGGAATCAGAATACCCAACAAGAGTGCATGTTGAACCTTTGGGATACCAAAGTCCCAAGTTCAAGGTGCCTCTCACATACTTAAGGATCCGTTTGACAGCGGTCAAATGAGATTCCTTAGGGTTTGCTTGAAATCTAGCACACATACAAAGACTAAACATCAAATCAGGTCTACTAGCAGTTAAATAAAGTAAAGAACCTATCATACCTCGATACCATTTCACATCAACCGACTTACCACTTTCATCTTTATCAAGTGAGCATTGAGAACTCATTGGGGTAGCCATTTCTTTACAATCTTCCATCTCAAATTTCTTGAGAAGTTCTTTTGAGTACTTCGTTTGGCTAAGAAATGTCCCATGTTCAAGTTGTCGAATTTGAAGACCGAGGAAGAAATTTAATTCTCCCATCATTGACATTTCGAACTCCCCTTGCATAATCTTAGTAAATTCCTTACACATAAGATCATTAGTAGCACCAAAAATGATGTCATCAACATAGATTTGTACTAAAAGCATGTCAAGAGCATTATGCTTAATGAAGAGTGTGGTGTCTACTTTTCCTCTTTGAAATCCATTCTCCAAGAGATGCGAACTCAAACGTTCATTCCAAGCTCTTGGGGCTTGTTTAAGTCCGTATAGATCCTTTTTCAGTTTGAACACGTGATTTGGGTACTCAAAGTCCTCAAATCCCGGAGGTTGTTCGACATACACTTCTTCTTGAATAAAACCATTCAAGAAAGCACTCTTGACATCCATTTGATACAATTTGAAATCCATAGTAGCGGCATACGCAAGTAGTAATCTAATGGCTTCTAATCTCGCTACAGGGGCATAAGTCTCATCAAAGTCTATACCTTCTTGTTGATTGTAGCCTTTAGCTACAAGCCTGGCTTTGTTTCTAGTGATTATACCATTTTCGTCGACTTTGTTTCTAAATACCCATTTGGTGCCAATAATTGAATGATTACGTGGCCTAGGCACAAGCTCCCAAATGTCGTTACGTTTGAATTGATCCAACTCTTCATGCATAGCCATTGTCCAGTATTCATCATTAATGGCATCATCAATGGTAGAAGGTTCTATTTGAGATACAAAAGCTATATGATTAACTAAACTGCGTAATGAGCTACGAGTAGTTACCCCTTTAGATATTTCACCAATCACGTTGTCTAAGGGATGATATCTTGAAGTTCTCCATTCGGGTGGTAACTCATTTGCAATATGCTCATCCTTTTTGTCCTCAACTTTTTTTTCCAACATCTTCTTGTTTTTCAGATTTTGTCTTACTAGATTCACCTTCTTCAAGATTCATTTTCTCAAGTGAACCTGCAAGATCATCACAGGATACCCTTCTCGACAAGCGAGCATTATTTTCATCAAATACCACATGCACAGATTCTTCAACAACTAATGTACGTTTGTTGAAAACTCTGTAGGCCTTACTACTCAAAGAATAACCTATAAAAATTGCTTCATCTGACTTGGCATCAAAAGGTCCTAAATTATCTTTTCCATTATTCAAAACATAACATTTGCAACCAAAGATATGAAGATGTGAGAGATTAGGCTTTCTACCCTTATACAATTCGTACGGAGTAGCATTGAGTGTAGGTCTTATAATCGCACGATTGAGAATATAAGCACTAGTACTCACCGCATCCGCCCAAAAATACATAGGTATGTTAGCCTCACTAAGCATAGTTCTCGCCATCTCTTTAAGAGATTGGTTTTTCCGCTCAACAATGCCATTCTGTTGAGGCGTTCTTGTGGCAAAGAAGTTATGTGCAAGGATGAAACAAACAGAGTACATGTCCTAAAGAGTCGCACTTGTCGCCAAATACTTATGTCATATTTGGCGACAACAACAATGGGATAATAAGTAATTTGTATATTTGTAAAATAGTAAAATAAAATATTTTGGAATATAATATTATATATATAAATATTTGGTTATATATATATTTTATATATATGTGTGCCGATTAATATATATATATATATTGTATATTGAATATTTTATTTTGGTTTGTCATTTTAATTATGAAAATAATTATTTTGACATAAACTATTTGAAGTATATTTTATACTTGTTTAAAAATGACATGGATATTTTATTTGATTTAAAATTAATTTTATATTAATTTTTGGTGTCAAATAAAATACACTTTGAACATTTCAGTGGAGAAAGATTTTAAATATCGCTCTCAAATCAAAACTTTCGGCCATATGATAAAATGGATTGACAAATTGCTAATGTTTTGCTTAATTGATAAATTAGTGGACTAATTAATTTTGTCATTTAGCTAATGACCAAATAATGGAGCATCTTTGTTTTATTTAAACAATTCACTCCATTTTGCTAATGTAGCTTTTATGATTCGGCCATACTATTTTAAGAGAGAGAAAAATATTATTTTGGTTCCATAAATATCATTTTGTGTATAGAAAATATCTATAATATTTTCTAAATATTATTAGAAATATTTTCTATAGAAATATACAAGATTATTATTATCCCAAATTTTAATCTTTATATTTTATACTACTATAATCTTTACTAGCATAAAGATTGTGGTAGACTCTGGCGTTGTTCGTGTGTCAAAGTTGGAGACCGGACGCTTGAACGGTTACGTTTGCACTTTCAACGCTCTTCCTACGACTTCTTTGTTTTTACCGCTTACGGAGAAAG